AAGTGCCACAAATACTGCCTAAACAAAATACTGATTTTGTGCACTTTATTTAAAATTGGCCTTTGAACTTAGCTTTATTGCATGGCATAAAAAAAGTGTTACCTTGCCAAAGCACTGACAGAGCCCACTGATCTAATGGCGTTGTTGAGCGCTCCAAATGCAAACTTTGCATGCAACAATCAGGCAGCAATTGACAGCACTCTGATCTAGTGGCATACAGGCGTCGTCAGATTGACAGTACTCTAGCCCAATAATGTTGGGGGATCCAGTGGGGGGTCATATTTCAGGGTGACCGTGCCACTCTTTATCACAACCCTGCTAAAAGTGCCAGTACGTGCGCTCATTGGCGCCCCTTCAGCTGGTGGCGCCCTAGGCGACCGCCTAGCTCGCCTATGCCTAGAAACGGCCCTAGACACGGCCCCGCACACACACACACACACACAATTTGGCTATTCATTAAGGGTTATAATAGGCTGTATCTGCTCAATTTGATGAAGCGTAATAGAGCTTTGGCACATGTTGTGATTGAATCGATTAGACACGAGCCAGGCTTTTGGCAAGATTCTTCCAAAAAAATATGTGTGCTGTGCGTAATCGCTTGTCCACAGCACCATCTAGTGGTTCCATGCCAGTAGTGTGGGGTGATGACGTCCAGCAGCTCTCCAATGCAGTAGCCCCTCACTGCAGAACAAAGATCCAGGAGGCGGGGTTGGATCCACATCTAGGGGGTGGAGATGGGTGGGTTTAGATATATGTAAGGTGGGAGGAGTTGGATCTGGATCCAACCACGCCCCCTGGATCTTGTGTTCTGCTGTGAGGACCATCTCCTCCAATGAGCAGCGCACGCAACTGGAAATGTTGAGTGAGAGTTCTTTTAGTATGGCCAATACTGTTGACTATTCTACTGTTCTAATTATTATGATTTGTAGCGTTGGCACTATAATATACTGGTCTACATTATTATTATACTGTGTGTTTGTATTCTGAACTATTTTTCAACAAAACCTCAGGATCTTTCAAAGAATAATCTAATGAAATAATAATGTAATATATATTATAGGCATATAATAGGCTACAATATATATATATATATAATATTACAAAGTTTATACAGGATAATGTCACAAATTCACAATTGCTCTGTTCCAATAACTTGAAGACTAAAATCTATACGAATCTTCAAGGCGACTTGTGAGATGTTAAGTTAAAAAAAATACGTGTACATTCAGTGACTGCACTTATATTAAACATCAATTCCAAATGATATGTTTATACTACTGGATCTTGTATTTGCCTAAACGTGTAGAAAAGCCGCAGCTTCACATCGTTAATCAAGCTTTCTGCTGTGCCATTTACATTCTCTAATTTTGGGTGATATTTCACGGTTTCGACACACTTTTCTCTCACACTTTTGTTACACTTTGGTAAACTTTTTAACATTCTTATTTTCTACTCCAATGCTTCAGTAAGTGCAGTCGATTGGATAGATTTTTACTTTAAGGCGTTTTTTTTATTTTTATTTTTTTTATAAACATGTATATGTTATCGGATACCTTCACAAATTTAAGACCAAGAAACGACCCGGACAACGACATTTTATTTATGTCTTTAATATTTTAGCACCATTTTCAAATGTCACTAGGCTAATACTGTCCACTTTATTTTAGATTGGCGGAACAGCATTTACAAAATAAATGCTCGAAGCAGAAAATAAAAGGTCCACATGAACAGTGACACTGAATAAATGACACATTAGAAAGAACTTTGTGAAGTTTGAAAATGAATATAATTCCGACAAAGAGATAAATACAATAGAATACAATATTATATCAGGAATCACCGTCTTTAATGCTGTATTTCAACAAGACAACACAACACTTCTACATATAGTAGAACCTTTTCTTTGCTGTTATTTATTTGCAACAGGTAAACAACTGGAGGTGTTCCTACTCTTAAAGGTAGGCTAGTTAACCCCAAAATTATTTATTCAACCCCATTACTCACTCTCATGTCATTCTAAATCCGTATGAATTTCTTTCTTCCGTGGAACACAAAATAATATATTCTGAATAATTTGGGTAACCAAACCATTTCGGTACCCATTGACTTTCATTGTATGAACAAAACAACAACAACAACAACAACAACACAGACATTTCTCAAAATGCCCTCTATTATGTTTCACCGAAAAAAAGGTTTGGAATACATGTGGGTGAGAAAATGATGATTGAATGTTTATTTTTAGGTATATAAACCTAAAACCCGTTAACCAATGTACTGGTGCAACATGCCTCTATGCAGAGTCTGAAAGCATTTAGTAATCGGAATCAGTGTGTTGTCAGATTGAAGGATATTGTTATTGTTGGTCATCACGCTATAGTAAAAAGGCAATTAAGTATATTTTTTCTGCAGTTTCGTGAGCCGTAAAACCAACGTGTTTCCTGAGCATGTGTCCCGTGTTTACAGACAAGCTTGTACAATGCCAGAGTTTGTGAGGCTGTGGGAACCATTTGCAAGAGTCGCTGTCCATGGTTCTGAAGCAATTATAAGCACCAGAATTCCTCAGTCTGATTGAAATTATGTCAATTCAATCAGCTTGCCAAATTATAGCTGGATAAAGGGTATGCTAAGAAATTCGGTCCAAATATTTCTGACTAAGAGATTGCATATACACTGCATCTCTGAGTTGTGATTTTTGACATTTCGTTTCAAAACAAAGCACTAGTGATTGACATATTCATCATGTTCAGTAGCTAGTTTAAGTGGGAGTTGGTCGAGATTCTTCATTTTAAGGCTGTCGTTGGGGACATCAAAATAACAATTTAACCGGTCATAGCATTTTCGAATGAAAGATGCATACTACAAATATGTAAAAGATATAGATTTCTTTCAACTTTGACCCCTTTTTGTAATTGCATTACACATTAATTCGTGCAAATCGTCCAAAACAGGCAAACATTAAACAATATTTTTAATTTTGTAATTTAAAGGTATTTGGTCTGAAGCGTTCATTGCACTGTATTCATTTTCATGTTGCCTTATTATTGATGATTATCATCTTCCTCATCATCATTATTAAGAACAAATAAATAATAATTGTTTAAACGTATAAGCTGTATACAGTCAGTGTGTGTACATCGTCTCACTGTAGGCTACACTGTACACACACACAATACATCGTCACACTGCGGTGCGTTTTGTAGTCTTTTTTCAAATTGTAAAACAATAAATATAATTAATCAACCAAGCAATTTTTTTTTACCCGTAACGCAGCTGTAAAAAAAGTAGGAGAAACATGAGCCTTCACGGTTTAATAAAGAACCAGATTTAATTTTTAAATCCTAAACATATATCGTTGTAAAAAGTCGTGTTTTTGTTTTTTACTCAGTTGTTTAATCTAACGCTCTATAATGTCGTAAAATCAAGTTGGTTAATTCACCTCTCTCGTTTCATTTTTGTGAAGTCTAGCTGAATTCCTTGTCATCATAATTCTGAACACTAGAGGGAGCCTGGAGCCTGGAGCACGGCACATTGCTTTTTGCTCCCTGACTCTCCCAAACTCCGCGATGCCTTGTCCATCATCAGAAACCTCTTTAATGACTCCAGTGTTTATCCTCTTATCCAGCGTATATAATTAACATCTATTATTAATTGTAGCATGTTTATCCGGTTTATTTTAACGCATTAATGTAAATATTTTGCATAGGGCCTATTTTAGCTTGTATCTTAGCCTATTTTAAAAGTGCTAGAGTTGTTATGTCACGGGTTATTAAATACTTTAAATTGCTGCCATATTGCCTTTCATGCTAAATTTAGATTAAGCGCAATTGGTTATCAATGACATTGAAGAAATAATTCTTGGATTGGATACTCCAATTGGATTGGATTGGTTCCTGATAGAACAGGGATGTAAATTGTGTTGCTCATTTGTTTGTTATAGGGTTAACGCATAGGTCTGTGTGAAGATGTATGTAATATGCTTTACGGAAATGTTTATGTTTTTGCGTTATATTATAGCTTAAGCAATCACTTTTCAGTGATAACTTAGGCTACAGCTTCTATACACAATCTATGAACATGAAAATAAACGTAGCCTAAGCCTTAACTCAACAGAAAACGACTGGCGTCCCTAGTGTGCTTCCATTCATCATCCTATTAATGTAAGATTAATAACTTCTACAAGTACACCGGCTGGCATGAACTTGTGAAGCGCGTCACCTTGATACAACAACGGTTACGCAATAATATCGAGTGTGTGTATTTTACTTGTTCTTTTAAAGCTTTTTCTCTCTCTCACAATAGCCTAAGTGTAGTCTTTATATCTTACAGCATGAGTCCACATGTAGTCTCACAGGTAATCTGATTACCTGTGAGTAGTGTACTTTTTCTTCTCTTTAACACACTCACACGCCGTTGCTTTTTGTAGAAGAACCAGTGCTCACGTTTATAATTTCGCCCACAGAGACGTAATCCCTTTGATTATATCTAATACCTGCCAAAACCCAGATGGCATGCCCACCCATCGCTCAGTGTGATAATGCCACATTGTGAAATCTAGCCATTAATATTAATTTTCAGTCCGCGGATGTGTCTGAACTGCTGAAGCTTAAAATTCCTTAAAGAAGCCAAGGCTTGACTTACCAGGGATTTTAAGAGCATTCTCATTTCGCCTCTCTCCGTCCTTTGAGGTAAAACTTGTATTCAGTGGGATATGTAGACTTAAGGTGGTCAAAGTCTTTCACAGGCGACACGAAAAGGCCTAATTCATCTTACGGTCAGTCTGATTTCTTGTGTCAAATAACATATTCGTTTTTGCGACATTGGACAAAGTGAAATAGTTTGCACTGATGTCTTTTTTGGAGGTTTCTGTCCTTTATTTTTAGGGTATTTTGTACGAATTAAACATGTTTTGGAAGCGAATGCACTTAGATAAAAATAATTTCGATAATAATGCTCACTTTTATAGTAAAATTTTACATGGTTAATTACTCAAACACGATTCACAGATCCTGTCCCAAGAGGATAATATCATGATTACAACCATATCTGAGAGACACATGCATGCCATTTAATTTAGAACTAGCAACAAGACAAGGCCGATTTAATTCCACCCAGGAGGGCCAGTGTATGGCCTTCACTCTTTATCTGTCTGTAAATTAGTCCAAAGTCTATCTATATGGCACCCACAAACTAACTGTGAGAACCACAGAGTATGGAGATCTTAACATACTAATCGCCACATCTGGCAAACAAAGCACTCAGATAAAGAGGCAAATAAATATTTGGCCAATATTTTTGTTTACTTTTTATTTTCACTGTATGTGGATTAAGTAAAATATGCCTCAGTTCTCATTTGCACTGTAATCGCTTTGATAAGAAAGTTTAAAGAGAATATAGAAGTAAATGTACACTTTATAAATTAAAAATATCAATAACGTGCAATAATAATGTGCAATGAGAACGTTGCAATTGATTGAACAAAAATAGCCATAACATATAGATAAATAATAAATTAATAAATAAAAATTGAACCGAGAACGTAATTTATAATTTTTTTTTTTTACAAAAATTGTTTTCTTTGTTTAGTTTGTTTAGCACTAATTAACACAAACTGGTGTTAGAACAGGTACTAGTATTTGCTACCAGACACTTTGTTTATCAAATGCTCAATAACGAGTGACAGGTGCTCTTTGAGTACTAAAAACGAAAAGTTTGAATACATTTGGCCAGATAATGTATTGTATTGGAATAGTCTTGAAATCTATCACGTTGAAATGCATGCGGAAAACCTATTTTTAATAATAAAGAATTTGCAACAAAAGCCACATAATGCCCGTTTTTATACTGAGAACTCTTTCCAGTTAAAGTTAGGCAAAGATAAACGAACACACTGGCACTCTCTCTCTCTTATTTACACACAGTGCACGAGAGGGTTTTCACTCAGTGCTAATCTCGCTGGTAAAGCATAACGTCCTAATTAGAGCCAAAATGTGTTTTACAGCTTGATTCTGTATGATAACCTTCTATGGTTACTTTTTATTATCCAGAAACCAGTTTATGCTGGTGCTTTAAAGAGACTCAAAGCAATTATCTGAATTAGCTTTCATAATATTCAGATAATCATATAGCCAACCCAAGAACCCTACATGTTTCTTTGAATATTGTTCTTTGCTTAAATCACTTTATTGTTATTATATGCTTTTTAAAGAATTACATAATTTACGCGCTGTACTCTTAAAAGTGCTTTAAATGTATCTAGCTCCCTTTGTACATGGTGGAGAATATTGCGTTGCATTGAAACGAAATCAAAGGCTTTATATACCGTCAGATCGATTCGGTGCTTTTAATCATATGCACTTGTTGAGGACAATGACCTGAAAAGCATCGGCACAGTCAGTGTGGTACAGTCGAGCGAATACATTGGGATTCCCAGATAGCCCTCGCGCAGAGTTGACCTTTTTACCCAGCGCAAACCTGACTCAACTTTCGCGTAAAGATCTGACAAAATAAATACCCACACACGCACCAGCACAGCGATCAGTCTTGGTCCAGAAACAAAGATGTCAGCGTATAAGCCTGCAAAGCAGTTTCACTCACTCGCTCGCTCACGGGTCACGTATTATCTCCAGCATTCGACTTCAATTCCGATCGGTTCCCTATTGAATTGTGCCTTTTCCCCGCAGACTGTCACTTGTTCACGCAGCCTCTGCTTTGAGTCTCTGGAGCAGTCGCTATAGTCTAGTTGTACTTCTACTAGTTCGCAGGGGTGTCTATCTCTTCCTCCCACCTCATGCATTGAACTAGCTTGTCATCGCGTTCGGTTATGCTTCATGTCTCTTTAATTTCGAATGCATCGGCGCTGTTTACAGCATCTTTATATTTCTAAATCCACGCGGCGGTTTACTGACACCCTCCCTCCTCCTCCCAGTCGCCATTCTCTATAATCTGAACACATCTGAAAGTTATTACCCCGGCCCCTTTCTTTCTAGTGGGCTGCTCCCACAAATCTATTCGTCAGTGTGTTGTTATATTTTTACAATTACACTCTTGTAGTATTTAAGTCCCACCTACATCGCTTGTAAAGCGCGCGAGCGAGTATCCTATCTTGCTCTATGTGATGTCCCTTAAGTTTCTGTCTGTTCTGGAGGAATGTGGCAGCGCACGCGGTGGTTGAACCCACATGCCCCGGCTCGGAACCTGTCTGTCCTGTTCATGCAACCCGACCATGTGTCTCGCCGAGAAGCAGCTTGCGCGCTACCTCTGACTGACTGTTTGACCAGGAGTTGAGTGACTGTGTTTGAAACACCATCAGTGTCCACTACGAAACCTTATATGCGAGGTTCCTCTCCTCCTCTCTTTGTATATATAGCATGTCCGGCCCCCTTGAATCTCCTGTCCATTGGCTTTTCGTGCTCTGTTTTCCTGCGTCCACCCCCAGCGCACACACACACACGCCGCAGCGCACATTGATTCCATTAAACATATCTCCCCTCTCTCTCTCTTTCTGTGTGTGCGTGTCTCTCGCTCTCTCGCCTCTTGTCCGGCCCCCTGATCTTTCTGTCCATTGGCTTCTTCGGGTCTATTTTTCATGTCCAGCCCCTAATGAGTGTCCATTGGTTTTGCTATTTCCACTCCCTCCTCCCACTCCACGGCTTTGCCCTGCCCATGTTCAGTATGTCTGTGTCCATCCATCTCCTGACGTTCAAGTTCGCAGGGACGTCACGTCCGCACTTGAACTTGCAGCTCAGGGGGGCTTTTGCCATTTTTTCATCTCTCTCTCTCTTTTCAAAAAAGCCATGACGGCTATCCCACAATCCATCTTCCCTGCGCCATCTTTGTATTATTTCTAATTTATTTTGGATGTCAAAGGCATTGATGAAGATATTTTCTCTGGAGTCTCCCTTCTAACCCGGCTCTCCCGATGTGAACCGAGCTGAAAGCCACCACCAACCACCATGTCTCGCCGCAAGCAAGGCAAACCCCAGCACTTAAGCAAACGGGATTTTTCGCGTAAGTAAAGACAAATATATGTTGTGCCCGTTCGCTTTACCTGATTTTGGCTCCATTCTGTAGTGTTGAGCTGCTGGAGAGGAGCGTAATTCTCAGTGAAGACACACTGGACACTGGACAGCGCAGATCAAGTGGACTTTAGTGAAGAGAGCGTTCCCATCTCTGAAATGCCTTTACGCGCACCCTCGTCCGCCGAAATGCCACAAAAGTTTGCTTTCCATCGCTATACTTGGACAAGTTCATGCCGGCTCTGTGTTTAGGCGCATATGTCTTGGCTCTCGTGCCCTAGTCGCCTTGACCACTTAAGAGCAAGCGCTCACATATACCGGACTGTGGTGGGTATATGCAGGCGTGCTTTCGCTCGCTTATTTACGCTCACATCTCGTGGAATGTCCCTTAACGCTGTCTGTCTGTGATTCTGGGCAGGATTTCCCCCCTCTTGCACTATTTTTGGAAGATTTTCAAAGAGTGGAAGTGAATTTTGATTGGGAAAAATCTCGTGTCCGACTGTTTACAAGCGCCGCGTGCGCGTAGACCCACTGCCAGCAAATAGAGCACGATAGTCGCCTGTGTGAGGCTAACAATGCAGAGCAAGGCATCTGCATTTAAAATCTATTTGAATTTTAAACTCAAGCTTTTCTTACATTTGAAGCAAAACGCGATTCTGATCGACTCGTATGGGCTTTCGCTTAAAAGCAATAGGAGACGATTTTACGCTACGCTCTTTGCCGTTTTGTGTGCATTTGTACAAGGATAAATTCGATTTCACGTAGGCCTGATTTTTGTCTTAAATGTCGGTGACAAAGGTAAGACGAAACCTAAATGTAATGCAACTATTTAGATACAAGTGTGTCAAGAAAACCAGCCAGTTTGGCTCTTTTTGTATGCACACATTCATAGCTACTACGGTTCTCCGAATTATCATTCGAATTATTATTATTATTATTATTATTTACTCTAAACATGTCTTGAAGGACTGTGGTAGGTTGCATTTTTTTTGTAAATAAAGTGTGCTTCGTATTTTATGGACCTGAAATATTGCCAGGAGCACGACGAAACGTAAACATTTTAGCTCTTGTCTTTTTGTCTGTTAGATATCTTTTGATATCTCAAACGTAAAGCTACAAAAGCATTAGGTCGCGTTTTATTAGATAAACATGTTTGACACAAATCCCGAGTTGTTGTAACATTGTAAAGTATCGTGTAACAATATTGGGTTTCCACACACAGGCTGTGGGATCTTAACGCGGGTTACTCCGTGTGTTCGCTGCGGTTCGTGTCAGAAATCCACCGCTAGGGGGCAGACGACGATCATAAACTAGATTCTAACCCGATCAGTTTCACCGCTATCTTTATCTATATTTGACCATATGTTAGCAAGAGCGAAACGTATTGTATATGAACTTGTGACAGTTTTTTTTACCCCGTCCTGACCTGGCATGAAATGTATAATTTTTAAAACCTTTATTCTGTAATAGATCAATAGCAAAGGATGTTCAGGCAAGACCAAATGTATTATCTTGATAGACTTTGTCATCTAATTCATAATTACACAGAAGGCACTTATTTTTAAAGTGAAAGAGACATTCTAACGAAGAAGCTGTTATTACAAACTTTTAAAAATTACTTTACTGAAAACCAGCTTTAGCCTAAATGTTCACGTTCATAGGTTACACACAGATAGCTACTTTTCTGAGCAGAGCTATTTGAAAATATTATCATCATATTTTTTGGTAATAAGCTGCTTTTGATTTTAGACACTTGAATGGATTTTAAATCTCTAAAAATATTCTAAAAAAAAAAGTTTTAAATTCAATATAGTTTTTAGTGCCAGCGCTGATTGTAGTGGAATTTGAAGCAATTGGGAAAACTCAATGTGATACAGCTTTCACACATTCTGAGCAAACTTAATTTTGTTTTTGAATGATCTAGACTGTCGAATATTCTTTTGTAACATATATATATATATATATATATATATATATATATATATATATATAATTAAAAAATATGCATATGTGCGGATATCAGCTGCGAAAGTAAAATAAGTACACAATATAATTGTTATAGCTAACTGAAGTGTTGAATACAAGCTGTTGTTTTAATGTAACGTATTTTATTGCAGCTGAAATATATGTTACCAACTTTGTATGTTCTCGCTCGGTTTCATTCTTAAATCATGACTGAAGTTTTGCATATATCGATTATCTCTGTGTTTTATCACAATCACGCCTAACTGGAAGTTCTACAGCTGTTATCATTACGAATTCATTACGAATCAACATCACTAGGAATCAGATCTAAAATACTTCACTTTAAATCGAGTAGGCTTTCTATTATTTATTTGCATGGCGAGCATTTAATCTCGAAAAACAACAACAAAAACTTCGTAATAGCGAAAGCAGTAGCTACTACATATAGAAGGGAAATTTATCACATTTCGTTATTGTTCTCCATGTGCAAATGTGTCGGATATTTTCCTCATAAGCTCGTCTGGGAGATACTCCACATCTGCCCCTCAATATCTGCCCCAGACTGGGCTGAAGTAAATTTAACCGCCCTGCACATGATCCTAACACCTTTTTTTTTTAAATCAAAATCTGTACCAATCATCACACACTAAAATTAAAATCTATTTTTTGATTCTCTGTGGCTTTAGGTTCATTAAAGCATGAAATTGGCAGCTTATAAAGAAGGTCAAGATTCTTAACCATTAGGAAGCTAGTGTAACCTCTGCGCAAAAGATTTCACTAAACAACCATTATAAAAATGCCTGCATATGTGTCTGTATGTGTGTGTGTGTGTGTGAACCTTACAGCTAACTTTATCGTGAGGGGCAAAAAAAAGAAGCTAATAGTCCCTATTGTGTGAAGCATTTATTGCTGCAGCTGTGACTTGTGTTGGGTTTTCTGGATATCTACATGTGCTGTCCATGCAGTCATTTCATGATCCAGATGTGTGTATGGTTGAGTGAAACAAAGAGTCAGGCTGAGATTAATTTACTGTAGCTTTAGACACAGATGCTAATGCACCAAAGCAATACTTTTACTCTTATATCATAATAAATTATATGTTAATAAGATGTCAAGCCCTTGCTATTAGTTATGTGAATATTATGTTTTTAGGCTTGTTCACTGAAGTTTAACTGACAAGGACTAATAGATTTATTTTAATGTTTATTATTATTATTATTATTATTATTTATATCTTTTAAGGTAATTATGGATCTGAAATTAAAAAGATAAATGTGAAAATAAAACGAAATTAAAAACGAAATTAAAGTGGTGGATTAACATAAAATGTGTGTTCTTGTTGTTTATCCTGTTATGTGCTCCCTCGTCTTGACTGTTTTCATTACAGCACCCAGTCTCTAATATTCGCTCTGCTTTTCGTTTCCTCTGTGTCGCATATGGATTCTTCCTGCGTGCAGCCGAGCCCCTGTCTGCCGTGGTCTCGGAGGAGAGGCAGGAACAGCGTGGGCTGGTACAGGTAGCTCCAGAGGGAGACCAGGACCTGCTCACCTGTGGCCAGTGTCAGATAAACTTCCCTTTGGGAGACATCCTTATTTTCATTGAACACAAAAGGAAGCAGTGCAATGGCACTTTGTGCATGGACAAAGCAGTGGATAAGCCCCCATCACCCTCGCACGGTGAGCTGAGGAGAGCCTCCAACCCCGTGGAGGTGGGCGTCCAGGTCACGCCGGAGGATGATGACTGCTTATCGACGTCTTCTCGAGGAATCTGTCCCAAACAGGAAAACATTACAGGTAACTTCATCTCATGTGATTTTTCCGTTAACTATAGAAGGGCTGTGCGTGTATTTGTGAGAGGAACATTTGTGGTGGAGCCGAGTTGTTGTGTGGGCCGCATATCGTAGACACATGTCCTTTCTCAGTGGGTCGTCTCATTCACAGCTCTGGAGACGTATCAGAGTGCTGAATATTTAAAAGCTGTGGGGCAGGAAGGGGAAGGGGGGTATATTCAATCAAACCTCAGAGTGAGAAGCCATTACGAAGACCAAAAGAGGAACCGGCATTACTTCATAGAGTACAAAGATTAAAAAACAAAAAAGCATTTCAAATCTGATTTATTATCTCAAGATCATCGCTGCTTGGAATCAAGGATCTCCTTCAGATGGACTCTGTGGGATTTGGATAATTAAGCTCAGATTTGAACCGTAGATCACACGTTCCCACCACCGACTGCATGCTTCGGTTTAGCACATTTGCACTTTGTGTTTCAAATCCTTTTCTCTGGTAACTTGTCGTTCACTCTTCATGGTAATCAAATGAGACCCAAAGTGGCAGACTGTGACTTAAAAGTTGTAGATTTGTTGAAGTAGAGTGCAAAGGGTGTGTTCTTTATGGCATGGTGGACTGCTCATCCCTACTGGGAGAAAAAAAGTGGGATGCGGGGGGGGGGGGGGGGGGGGGCTTGGGGTGG